GTATCCAAGAAACCATTGCCTAACCCAAGGTCACAAAAATGTATTCCTATGTTTTTAAAATTATTTTATTTTATTTTATTTTACTTATTTATTCATTTTTTTTGAGTTGGAGCCTCACTCTGTCGCCCAGACTGTAGTGCAGTGGCCGCTCCCGGCCACCGCAGCCTCGACCTGCTGGGCTCCGGCGATCCTTCTGCCTCAGCCTTCCAAGTAGCTGGAACTACAGGCACACGCTACCACGCCCGGCTAATTTTTGATTTATTGTAGAGATGAGGTCTTGCCAAGTTGCCCAGGCAGGTCTCGAACCCGCGGGCTCAGGCAATCCACTCACCTCAGCCTCCCAAAGGCGTGGGATTACAGGCTGAGCCACCGAGCCCAGCTACTCTAGGACTTTTATAGATTCAGCTCTCACATGTTGGTCTATAATCCATTTTAAGTTAATTTTGGTATGAGGATTAAGGCAGGAATTCCACCTTTATTCTTCCACATGTGGATAGTTAATTGTTCCAGTACCGTTCAGTGAGAAAAACTATTTTCCCTCATTGGATTGTTTTGGCAACCTTCTCAGAAGATCAATTGCCCATACTGGATTATATATAATACATATATTATATACACATATATACTATATATATATATATATTTTTTTTGAGTCAGAGTTTCACTCTGTCATCCAGGTTGGAGTGCTGTGGCGTGATCACAGCTCACTACAGCCTCCAACTCCTGGGTTCAAATGATACTCTTGTGTCAACCTCCCTAGTAGCTAGGACTACAGGCATGCACCACTGTGCCCAGATAATTCTTTTATATTTTGTACAGACAAAGTCTCACTATGTTGCCTGTACTAGTCTCAAACTCCTAAACTCAAGCAATCTTCCCACCTTGGCCTCCCAAAGTGCTGGGATTATAGGTGTGAGCCATCACACCTGGCCTCTCTCTAAATAATTTTTAACTTTTCTTTATTTCCATTTCTTGTTATTTATGTTTTGCTTTTATATGACACAATAGCTGTTCAACACTGTGCTTCTTTCAATTTCATTTTCAACTGTATTATATTTTTATTTAGATTGCCATAAAGGAGAGGGAAGGATATCCTGGTTGATTAAATGGGGAATCAGAGTGAGCACAGGCTCAAAACAAAAATGCACAGAAACCCAGAAGATTGTCTCAGGAAAAAAATGAGTTGGCCCAGCTGGCTAAGGCGGAGAGAACATTTATGGCATTGTGGTAGCATCAAAATATTGTTTTCTAAGTAATGGAAAAGTAGCAGAAGCAGATTGTGGATAGTCTTTGTAAATCTGGTCAAGGAGTTTATATCTTATTCTAAAAGTAATAAGGAGTCAAGTTTGAAGAGTAAGATAATGAGTGGATGGATAAAGAAGTGATTTAGAACAGATTATAAAGAGTAACATGGGGTAAGGAAGCTGGGTGTGGTGGCTCACGCCTGTAATCCCGGCACTTTGGGAGGCTGAGGAGGGAGGGTAGTGTGAGACCAGGAGTTCAAGACCAGCCTGGTCAACACAGTGAGACTCCCATCTCTAGAAACATAAAAATTAATTAAATAAATAAATATAATCAACATTGGGCAAAGAAAGCACTAGTCCAAAGCTGAAGACAACCAGGCTTGTTATTTGGATTCTTGCAATGACTTTGGAAAAAACAGAGAAGTCATTTTTTAAAAATCAGTTTCACAATGAGAGGGTAATTAATAGCTAAGATGGAAAAAAGTGAGGACTGCAGAGACTACACTAGAATTGGTGATTAAGAAATCAGTATTGCTGAGTCAGGTGTGGTGGCTCAGGCCTGTAATCCCAGCACTTTAGGAGGCAGAAGTGAGAGGATTGCCTGAGTCCACGGGTTTGAGACCAGCCTGTGCAACCTGGTGAGACCTCATCTCCACAATAAATCAAGAAAATTAGCTGGGCATGGTGGCATGTGCCTGTAGTTCCAGCTACTCAGAAGGTTAAGGCAAAAGGATCACCTGAGCCCAGCAGGTCGAGGTCGTGGTGGCCGTGAGCATGCCACTGCACTCCAATCTGGGCGGCAGAGTGAGACTCCAACTCAAAAAAAAGAGAAGCCACTATTGCCATCAAAAATTCAATTTTAGTTCATCAGCTGTGTAGGAGCTAAATGTCCTTAACTGAACATTAGAAGATGAGAATATCAAAACAGCAAATCCAGAGGTAAAGAAGAGGCAAAGCACCAGAGTTGGTGGTAGGTTCTGAGTCAAGAGAAGTTGTATTTTTGCCCCAAGTGGAAGAGATTTTACATGTTTGTAAAGAAAGGAAAGAGCCCCTGGGAGACCGAAGATAAGAGAAGGATAGAAAAGCAAGAAGGAAGAAAAAGAGTTGTTGAAAGGGAGAAAGGACAATTGAGGGGGAACGATCCCACAAAAGGGGTATGAGAAGGATAAAATATACCACTCTGGTGACAAAGACAGAGGAAATTAACATTAGATGAGCAGAGAAAACTTTTTCCTCTGGACTGGAGGGAAGAGTGAAAAACTGGGTGTGAATGAAAATGGAAAAAGATCCATTTTGTCACTTGCACAAAAACATCCACCCTCAGGAGTTTCTGTGGGACGCCCTTGCTCTCCTCAGTAAAATTAGAATTAACTGCAGGAGTTTCTGGAACTAGCAAACCAAGACTAGAAGTGCTGAAGAGGCCCCGCAAAAGCTCCACTCAGGCTGCATGAATCTGTAACAGGTCCACTGGCTATCTTTCCATGACTTCTCTGGGAACATGCTCCACGAGAGGTTGGACTAAAGGGCTAATCTAGGTGTAGGCATTGGCTGGGCTCAAGCGAAAAGTCTGAGGTTAAAATGGTGCCAGTGAAGTCAACGTTCAAGTGTATAAAATATCTTTGGCTGATGATCTGTTTTTGCATTCGAAATCCTGACATGTCGATGAGAGGGTTGTCCCACTTGTAGTTCAGCAAGGGGAATCCGCAAGAATCTAAACTTCTTTGTGCTCCACTGCCTGTCAACAATACCATTGTCATAAAATAAGTACATGTTTCTTAGCTGTTGCTTTGAAGAACGAATAGAGAGCTGCACATTCAGCCATTGAAGTTGGGCATCGTTTACCTAGTTGGCTCTGCTAATTAAAGTCCACTGAGTGTGTGTGTGTGTGTGTTAGGTTAAATCGAGAGAGAGAGTGTGTGTGTGTGTGTGTGTGTGTGTGTGTGTGTTAGGTTAAATCGAGAGAGAGAGAGTGTGTGTGTGTGTGTGTGTGTGTGTGTGTGTGTGTGTTAGGAGGTTAAATCTTGCCCTCTTATGAGGGAAGGAGAAAGGAGAAAATGTATTGCCTTCTGTTGATGGGAGAGGGTAGCCTTCCCATGGTGGATGGACGACTCTACTGAAAGACAATGGTAATGGTTGACTAGAAGACCCTGAGAGGTTTTAGATGATGCAGGTCAGAGAAATATTTTTCTTTACCAGAACCATAGAAAGAATGCAAAGTCAAGTCGTATTTTAACTGGCTGGGAATAAACGGGTCTGTGCACGCTGCTTGATATTGCTTTTTAAAAAAATCCTGCATATTGATATGGTGATCTCAGCGATGACAATATATTTGGAGATTATATGTACATATGTCACATATATATTCATTCTGAGTTTTTCTACTTTGCTTGGGAAGCGGGGGACAAAATTGTTTTCATTTTGTCCCAAACACCAAATGATTGTTTTGGGTTCATTTCAGACACTCATTCCAATGACAGCGGGTACTGGTCGGGATACAGTGGTACCCAGAAATAGATTTCTCCTCCATATACTCCCTTACCTACCAATAAAGTTTTCACAGGAATAGATTAAATTGATAATGTGAAGTATTATGAGATTTATCTGTATTTATTGCTATATAACAGCTCACCCAAACTTATGACTTGAAACAATAATAATTCATTTTTTGTCACAATTTTAGAGTGAGTTGGCTCAGCTGGGTGTTGGCTCTTCCTCATTTGGGATCAGCTGGCATTGCTCATGCAGCAGTGGTCATCTGGCGACTCACCTGGGGTTAGGTGAGCCAAGATGGCTTCATTTACATGTCTAGTGGTTGATGCTGGCAGCTGACTCTTCATGGTCACCTCTTTATGTGGTGGCTCGGTCTCTCAAGAGTGTGAAATAAAGCTGCGAATCTTCTTAAGGCCTAGTCTCTGGTACTTATACTCCACTGACACAATGCTACAAGCTATTGGTTCAAGCCATGCATAAGGCTAGCTCAGTCAAATGTGGGAGAGGACTTGACTGCCATTTATTCTATGTAGGAGGTTGAGGTGGGAGGATGGCTTGAAGCCAGGAGTTGGAGGCTGCACTGCACTATGATCATGCCCATGGATAGATATTGCACTTCAGCCTGGGCACATAGTGAGACAAGACCTCATTTCAAAAAAAAAAAACAAAAAACCCTGTCATTTATCGATGAGATGAGTTGTAAAAATTATGTGCCCATTTTTAATCCTTCACAAAGGGATTAAATAAAATTCTATCTGCAAAATGACTAGTAATGTATATCTAGCACAAAGCAAATTATTTCAAAATGTCCATTGTTTTTGTTTGAGCCATTTTCTCCTGAATAAAAAACACTTTTACTGGATAAGAAAGTGGGTGCGTTTTTCTTTAAAGGAACTGACATTTGCTTAAAATACCTAAGGAAAAAAACTAGTCCATATAAAATTTGTTGAACTAGTATTAAACCTAAAATACAAAAAAAAAAAAAAAATCTTAAAAAAAAACCCTAAAATACATGTCATGTAAGAATTTAAGGTGTTTCTGAGAAAATGTTTGGTTGAAACATGATTAATTTGGCAGACCTAGACTAGGAGAAAACAAACGAACATTTTAAATGGTATAAAATTTTTGAAGTGTCCCACTCACAAATTTCTAAAGATTTAAAAAGTGTTACATCCTTCCTTTGTATTTTAACCAAGTTTTGATCTTTGATTTTTGCCTCTCCTTGCATTACTTTTTTTAGGAATTAGAGAATAAAATCCCAGCACAATGCTGACCATTGGAGACACCAGTCCAACTAACGACAGAGAAAGGGCAGCGTTTCCTCAATGTTCGGTATGTACTTAAAACTTTATATAGTGTACGCAGGAAACTTTACATTCTAGCATCATAAAAATTCAAACTATTGACACACCTGGAAGCTATAGGAACACCAACATTTCACTTCAGTGACTTAACATTCTTAGTCATAGCAAAATGTAGCTCTTCCCAGGGCAGGGGTTGTTTTCCTGATTGTGATTTTTTGTTTTGAGTTAAGGTCTCACTCAGTTGTGCAGGCTGGAGTGTAGTGGCACGATCAAGGTTCACTGTAGCCTTGACCTTCTGGGCTCAGGCAATCCTTCTACCTCAGCCTCCTGTGATTTTTTTTTTTTTTTAAATATCGATGGGGGTCTCACTAGGTTACCCAGGCTAGTCTCGAATTCCTGGCCTCAAGTGATCCTCCCACTTCTGCCTCCCAAAATGCTGGTATTACCGATGTGAGCCAGCGTGCCTGGTTTGATTGTGGTAATCTATCTTAAAGAATCATTTACCAGACCGGCTCGGTGGTTCAGCCTGTAATCCCGCACCTTTGGGAGGCTGAGATGAGTGGATTGCCTGAGCCCGCAGGTTCGAGACCCGCCTGGGCAGCGAGACCTCATCTCTACAATAAATCAAAAAATCAGCCGGGCGTGGTAGCGCATGCCTGTAATTCCGGCTACTCGAAAGGCTGAGGCGGAAGGATCGCCGGAGCCCAGCAGGTCGAGGCTGCGGTGGCCGGGAGCGGCCACTGCACTCCAGACTGGGCGACTTAGTGAGACTCCAACTCAAAAAAAAATAATAATAATTTACCAATTTTAGCTCACTTTCTATTTGTTGCCCTTGCAATAGAAGTGACTAGCATTAAAAGGGAACTCTGTGTTGTGCAAAATGACCCAAATTTTGGCTCTAACCTGAGACAATGGCCTCTTTGGCCTCCTTTGCACTGCATTTCTGACACACTGAGCTCCTTGAACAGGGTGCGGCTTTGATATATAGATGATCTGGCTCCCTTTGTTCCTTAGAAGAAATGTGAGGGATGGGTGCAATGGCTCACACCTGTAATCCCAGCACTTTGAGAGGCCGAGGCAGGAGGATTGCTTACAGCCAGAAGTTTGAGATCAGCCTGGGCAACATACTGAGAATTTGTCTCTATTAAAAAAAAAATAAAATGCAACATCACTCAAAAGAAGCAAAGTTCTCAACCTCCCATAGCTGTCTCTCTCCGTAGTCACTCAAAATTTTAAAGTTGGAAAAATCTTCACGACTTTTGAGTCCAATTCTAACTGCTCCATTTTATAATAAAGAGTTTAAGAGATGTGCCTAAGTAATACATCTTTTGGGGAATGAATCTGAGATTTGACCTTCCATTCTCTATTCCATATTGCCACTATGGATTTGGTGAATAATTGATTTGGTGAATTGTGGGGGGTTTTGTGTTTTTTTTTTTTTTTTGGAGAGTCTTTCAACGCGTTTGCCCATTTCATGATGGGCAATTTACAAGTTCACCGGCTGGGCCTCGTGTTCAGCAGTTTTTGACCAAAAACAGCATGCCCCCATGCCCTACCTTCTCTATTCACCCGATCATGCCCCAAGAGATTTTTGTTTGTTTGTTTTCCCCGGATGAAAAAAGTCCTCAAAGGGAAACGTTTTGCCAGTGTGGAAGAGGTGAAACAAAAAACAGCAGAAGACCTAAAAGGCATCAAAACTGATGAGTCCAAAAACTGTTTTGAGTGGTGGAAAAAGTGTCTTAATAGGTATATTGCATCAAATGGAGAGTATTTGAAGGTGACTGAAGTTTGAACATGTAAGGATAAATACACAACTTTTTATAAATAAATTCCAGAGTTTTTGAGTCCTCCCTCATGTCTTCCAAAGATAAATGCTTCTATTTTCATGGTTATTTGTTCTCTTATTCTAGGGTTTATGAGTCTGCCAGTATATGACATTTTTGTCAGTCCCATGTCTTACCACTTCTCTTTCCCACAGCTGCCAGAATTATATACTTCCCTTGAAGATTTTTATAAGGAGAGCAAGAAATCAAATCTCCTAAACATGAGTGGTATTTCACTTAACGAAGCACAGAAAATGCTTACTAAAAATCTGAATACCATGGCACTTGCCAGGGCCACCAGTGGGCGCAGGAAAGATTCCCAAACAGTTATCATGTGCACAGTGGCTGATACCGAGGACGAGAAGAAGCCAGAGTCCTTGACAGAGCTTCTCCACCGCAGCTTGCTGGTCAACTCGTTGTCTCCTATGGAGCGGCTCTTCAGGTCCCAGCAGAGGCTGTTGCAGTATGGGATCTCTCCTCCCAAGCACACCTTCCCTTATGACATCCTGGTCGACCACTTGAACGCCGTGTCCCGGGTTTCTGTACAGAAGGTTCAGAGCCCCCAAATGTTTTGCAAGCTAGGCTTGTCTGGCGCCACCCCAAGAAGCCTTATCTTTGAAGATAAAGTTCCTAGATACCTCCTAGTGGACCCAGGTAACCTAAGCAGATGACGTCAGGTGGGAGGAAGGGAGTGGAAATCTTACCGCGGATTTACATAGCTCTCTAGAGCAGAAACAGTCAAATATTGACCCATGGAAATGTTGCAGTTCTGGGTGGGGTTCATGGCTCCTGCTTTCACTTCTTACTCTAGCAGTAAAAGGCAGAACAGAGAATCCAAAATCCCAGGATAAGATTGCAGATTCATTCTCGAACAGGTGTGTTATTTAGACATGCCACTTACACCGTCCTTTGTAAAGTAAAGCCAGTTAGACTTGGACTCTAAAGTACCCATGGTTCTTTGTGTCTTTTTTTTTTCTTGCTCTTTGTGTCTTAAATGAAGTTAGTTGGGTATTTTTCTTGTATTTGTTTGTTTGTTTTCCAGTATCTTGGCTTTGTTGCTATTAAGAAGTTTCTTTTAGAGATTTTTCTTTTTTCATGAACCTTTGCCCTTTTCTTATTGTTACATCTCTATCAGGTCTTTCATCAGAGACCACAGATAGCAAGAGGAAACTCTCTCTCTATTTCTGATTCTTTAATAGAGAAGTAACCATAAAAGATCAAAGACCACACAGAGAAAGTGAAAATTATATATTTATAAAAGGTATGATACCGAGTTTTGGTTTTTTTTTTTTTGAGTTGGAGTCTCACTCTGTCGCCCAGACTGGAGTGCAGTGGCCGCTCCCGGCCACTGCGGCCTCAACCTGCTGGGCTCCGGCGATCCTTCCGCCTCAGCCTTCCAAGTAGCTGGAACTACAGGCGCGCGCTACCACGCCCGGCTAGTTTTTTGATTTTATTGTAGAGATGTGGTCTCCCCAAGTTGCCCAGGCGGGTCTCGAATCTGCGGGCTCAGGCAATCCACTCACCTCAGCCTCCCAAAGCACAGGGTTACAGGCTGAGCCACCGAACCCGGCTGATGCTGAGTTTTAATGAGAAATTTTAATGTCTCATGTTTCAGGTTTCCATCTTACTTATGTAATTCGAGGGAGGTAATATATTGTCATTCTGTGTCACTACTAAAAATACTAGTAGTTACACTTGTATCCCTCTGAAGTAGGTTTTTGATTCAGGATAAGACCATTTTCATAGCAGATACTTTGACACCATTTTTATATTAAAAGTAGTAGGAGACACAGAAGGAAAAAATTTTAATTCATAGATTGATTATTCTAAGAATATTTGGTCCAAGGAGCTGAGTCTTTGCTATAAATCTCTGCATTGACATCTTGACAGAGCCTAGTGCCGGTTTCAAATTCCTTTGATAGTCATAATTTGTGTGCTTTGGAGCTTAGACAGAGGTAGAAATTAGCGTGATTGTAGGAATAAATTAGGTAATTCACAAAGCACACAAGTAAAGTCTGGGACCAGAGAGCAAAAAGCATGAAAAGTATCGAGAATCAGTAAGCCTTAGCCAAAAACGTATTGAAGAAGGGCTTTGGATGTTTAGTAGGGTCTTGAACATTTGTGACTCTGCCACCCGTAGGGACCAAGTTTTCCTTTCTTCATAATGCACATATTACCTGCTGTCTGCCTAACTTCTAGGGGTTTCTGATGAGACCTGCCTGAGTCTTTGTTGGAGTCTCTTCTCTGTCTCCATATCCTCATTTCCTGAGATCCTGGAGGTAAATATCTGGGAGTTGTCATGTCTATTCCAGAAATATGCATGAAGCCAGGTTGACGTCCATATGATGGATACCCAGTAATTCCTTAGATTTAATCGGCATTGCAGAAATTCATGTTCTACTCAGTTCAGGAGAACTTTAGGACTCTTGACATTCCAAAGCGTACTATAGGACACATCCTCACTCTCTCCAAGCACTGGGGAAGGAAAAGAGTGTGGGTCTTGTCATTTTGTTTTTCTCCTATCACATGAGTTCCTTGTCCTCAAGCTAAATCTTGTAGAATCCTGTAGGTTAGGAATGTGTTTGACCAAAAATTACAGAGAAACCAAATAGCAGTTATTTTTCTTATGTAATTATAAGCCTGGAGACAGGCAGACAAGGCTGGAGCAATGCTTTTCTTTATTTGACACATTATAATTGTTTATATTTATAGGGTCCAACTTAACGTTTTAATACATGTTCAAGTATATGTTGTATAATGATCAAATTAGGGTATCTAGTGTGACCATCACCTCATGTACTTCTTTCTTTGTGGTGAGGACTTTCAAAAGTCTCCCTTCTCACGATTTTGTGTCATGCCCTAGCCTACTGTTAACCAAACTCACCCTACTGTGCACTAGGACACCAGACCTTAATTCCTCCTATCAAATTGCAATTTTGTACCCCTTGACCCACCTCCCCGCACCTTTCCCTCGCACATCCCCTTTCTACTCTCTGGAGCAATGCTTCTTGATGACTTCAGAAACCCAGGTTCTTCCAGCCATCATTTTGTGTGTGGTTTCCATCTACATGTCTAAAAGACATCTCCTTCACCCTCAGAGGCGGTGGCCACATTCCAGACAGGAAATGGTGGCATAGGACAAGGGCCACATTGGGACTGCTGTCCCTGTTTAACAGGGAAGCGATATTTCTCAAGAATACTTCTCCTCAGGTGACTTTTTCCTGCACCTTTTTGGCCAGAACTGCGTCCAATAGTGACCCCTTCCTGCAAGGAAGGCTGGTGAATGAGTGCTTAGTGTCTCCCCTCTATAATAGAGGAGGGCAGAAAAGGGCTGAAATGGGTACAGAGTAGACCACCCTAAAGTGTCTACCACAGGTCATGACTTGAAGCTCTCCTGTCATCAAAATCATCAGCACTCCAGCCTTTCCTTGTCCCATATTTCTTTCCTCCTTTTACTACCATTTCTTGCCATGCCAGGTCTGTGAAGTTCTCGTCAAACGTTAAACTTGGCAACTGGCCCTAGGGACAGATTATCGAAGACCATGACTAGTCCCTGTATCTGCTCCACTGGGGGAGGTGTGAACTCAAGGAACAGTCCCTGACGCATGTCTTCTACTTCCGGCGTGTGTGTGTATGTGTGTGTGTGTGTGTGTCTTCCTATGGTTTTGCACTCAAGCCCCTACCTTCAACTTTGCTTTTGTTGGCGTTGAAGTTTGTTTTCAGCTTTTCAGTGTGTTTAGTCATGAAAAGAGTTGAAGGGAACGGGAGGGGAATGGCTGCTGAGTAGGAGAACATGAAGTGGATGTTGGCTTTATTCTTCCTCCTTGGTGCATTGGCTCCTTGAAGGGACTGGAACTGCTCATGAAATTCTAACCTCATAGGTCCTGAAAGAGTGTGGAAGACAGTCTAATTCTAGCTATGCCACTGTCCTTTTTTTATATCCATGGCTCACATTAGCATCTTGGAAGAAATGACTAGCAATCTGTGTACTTCTGATCAGTCTTCCTCCTTGTGTTAACCACTCATTAGGTTCTTTTTCTCCTACCTGCTAATCTTGGTGCTCTGCAGGGCTCTCCATTTGCATACTGTGTTTATCTAAGCATACAATGAGACACTCCATCTACCGCCCTGGTCCTGCAGAGTTCACTCAAGCCCACTCAGCCAGCTGCATCCAGTTCCTTACTTAGGAGAGGGCTTTAAAGGAAATATACGCTATAGGGTCTCCTTGGTTTGTAAAGCTTTAGAAGCAGCTTTCAGTCAGGAGGAGAGGGACTTGAAGCTTTCTGTCAGGAGGAGAAGGAGATTTAAGTTCGTCCAAGGTTTATTCTGTCCACAAAGTATCTCTGAATAACTGAAGGCTCGAATAACAACACCATGTGATTCTTTGAAAATGATTCCTTTCAGAAAAACAGTTCATGGATCTAAAGGATCTGGAATTGAGATATTTTAAGGGACTTGTGAAGTGGAAGCGCACTGCTAAACCTTTACTCAGAGACATGAAATACGACACTGAGAAGAGATTTGTAGAAAGCCAGGGTATGCCCGATGTTATTTCCCCACCTCTAGTTCACAAATCTTTGATCATTTATCCTCAAATTGAGTATCAAGAAGAAGGAACTTATTCTCTTATATGGCATATGTAGTTTATTAAAATATTTTGAACATAGATTTTTGCTTTTGAGAGCATTGAGTTTATACATAAAAAGTAAAGAAGCCAAGCATCCAATAGAACGTCTCAACATGTATAAGATCCAAAATTGAACCACTAATATGGAGTGAAAGATTCAAGCTAATCTGCTGCTACAAGAATTGAGTTGGACCTGTGAAACCCATTTGGACCAAAAATGAAGCAAAAATAGATCATATAAAAAGGGTGGGGATGAGGAGAACTTCCAAGCAAGAATAGCTCTTTAAGAAATTCTAAGCCCACAAGAAAGTCTATCAACATAAAAAACATTTGGTAAATTCAACAAATAAAAGAATTAACACCTGAGGCTATATAGATCAATCTGAGAATCTTAAAATAGTAAATTAACTGCTCAAAGACATAAGAAAAGAAAAGAATCCATGAAACAAGAACAGGAAGATTTGAAAAAGAACAAACTGGAAATCTTAGCAATGGAAAATGCGGCTTTTGAAAATAACAATAACCCTTAATAAATGATCCCAATCGTACACTGGATGTGTTTGAAGAGGGAGGACTAATGAGTCGGAAGACAGCACTGAAAAACTTATAGATGACGGCACAGTAAGATAGAGGGGGAAGAATAGCTGTAACAGTGGGTATCTCCAGCAGCAATGAGAAGTTCAGAAATACATCCAATAGAATTTGCAGAAGAAAATGGAAAAGAAGTAATGATTGAAAATAAAATGATTGAAACATTTCCAGAAACAAAACTCCCAGGAGACCTTGAACTACAAGCTCTGAGTGATTAGCAAGATACTAAATCTATACCTAGAAGCACTGAAGCAAAACTGTAGAACATTGAGTGGTAAAGGAAAATACACTCTACAAAAGAGAGAGAGATTACATACCCAAAAATGACAAGTTGACAGCAAAACTCCCATTAACTATAGATGTCAGAAGACAATAGTGTCATATTCTCAAAATACTGCGGGAAATTTTCAACTGTCAGTTTGGAATTCTATAACCAGTCAAATGCTGTCTAAAGAATAGGAGTGAAATAAACGTATTAAAAACATATGAGCCAGAAATTATTTACTATTCATAGTCCCTTGCTTAGACAAAAAAAAAAAAAAGAAAGAAACTACGAGTGAAGTATGTACTTCAGCAAGAACCCAGAGGGAATACAAGAAATAATCATGAGCAATTAAATTATTAATAATATATGTGTATAATTGCATAGATAGTAAAATATATTTCTGGATTCTGTTTTCTAATATGTTTAGAAGATCCACCTCTATATAAGTGAAATTTTTCTGTAGTTGCCATTTCTTGCACTTTTAATTTTTATTTTATTATAATTGAGTTGGGGTCTCACTGTGTCACCCAGGTTGGAGTGTGATGGCACAATGACGAGTCACCACAGCCTCAACTTCCGGACTCAGGAGATCCTTCTGCCTCAGCTTCCCAAGTGGCTGGGACTACAGATGCACACCACCACACGTGGCTAATTTTTTGATTATTTTGTGGAGAGGAGGTCTCGCTGTTTCCCAAGCTGGTCTCGAACTTCTGGTCTCAAGCAGTCCTCCCACCCTGGCCTCCCAAAGTGCTGGGATTGCAGGCATGAACCACTGTGCCTGACCCACTTTCTAATACCAGATTTTGGTATGAAAAGTTATGCTGGCTTCAGCACAGTAGGTATCTTCAGCAGAAGACACTGTCTAAAACTGAGCTTGGGGGATTGGAGTGCTCACAGTGTTCTCGTTTTTACGTTTTTGCACACGTGTGTTCAGGATGCAAAAATTCCTCAAGCTTACACACAATTCTACACTTTTCTTCATGCACACAAAACATTTTGGAACCAGGTGCAGTGGCACATGCCTGTAATCTCAGCTACTTGAAAGGGTAAGGTGGGAGGGTTGCTTGAGGCCAGGAGTTTGAGGCTACCCAGGGCAAAATTTTTTTAAAAATCAGTTGGGAATGGTAGTGTGTGCCTATAGTTCCAGCTACTCTGGAGGCTGAATTGGGAGGGTGTCTCGAGCCCAGGAATTCAAAGGCTACAGTGCTATGATCATGCCACTGCACTCCAGCCTTGGTGACAGAGATAAACTTGTTTCCAAAAAATAAAATAAAAGTTTAAAATTTAAAAAGCTATGCTAGATTTATGTATTTGATGTTTCTTTTTGAGTCAGAGTCCCACTCCGTTGCCCAGGCTGGAGTGCAGGGGCATGCTGTCACAGCCACCACAGCCTTGACCTGGGCTCAGGCGATCCTTCCACCTCAGACTTCCAACTAGCTGGAACTCAGGCGCACCACCACACCTGGCTAATTTTTTGATTTATTGTAGAGACTAGGTCTCGCCAAGTTGCCCAGGTTGGTCTCGAACCCGTGGGCTCAGGCATGCGCTGGGATTGCAGGCATGAGCCACCACACCCAGCTAAAAGTTATGCTAGCTTCATAAAATGAATTGGGGAGTTTTTCTCTTTTATGAGATCACAGATATTTTAATAATATTTATTAATAGAAATATTAATATATTATAGAAATATTTATTCTTTGAAGTCTAACTAGAATTCAGCTATAAACCATTCACTCCTGATATCTTTTCTTCCTGTTTTTTTTATTATGGAAATGTTTAAACGTTCATGAAAACATATAGGATTCTATAATGAACCTGCATACACACATTATTTGGATTCAAGTGTTATTAACATTTAACCACATTTGCTTCATCTATTCCTTTTGTCGTGTTTGCTGTGTCTGCTGACATATTTTAAAACAAATTTTAGGCCTCATGTCTAAGATGTTACTTTGATGTGCATCTCAGAAATATATGGACATTTTCTTCCATGACCACAATGCCATTATTTGCCAAGAAAAATTAACAATGATTTCTTGTTACCCTCTTTGTATCCATATACAAAGTGCCTTTATTGTCTCAAAACTGTGTTTTTCTAGTTGGTTGGTTTGAATTAGGATCCAAGCAAGGTCTAAACAGTGCCTTTATTTATTAGATCTTTTGAGGTTTTTTTAGTCTAGACCAATTGCTCATTTTTGTTCATGCAACTGCCTTAGTGAGAAATAGATCCAGCCAGGCTCGGTGGCTCAGCCTGTAATCCCGCGCCTTTGGGAGGCTGAGGTGAGTGGATTGCCTGAGCCTGCGGGTTCGAGACCCGCCTGGGCAACTTGGTGAGACCTCATCTCTACAATAAATCAAAAAATCAGCCGGGCATGGTAGCGCATGCCTGTAATTCCAGCTACTTGGAAGGCTGAGGCGGAAGGATCGCCGGAGCCCAGCAGGTCGAGGCTGCGGTGGCCGGAGGTGGCCACTGCACTCCAATCTGGGCGACAGAGTGAGACTCCAACTCAAAAAAAAAAAGAAAGAAAGAAAAGAAATAGATCCATTGCCCTGTAGAAAATCTCGTGTTCTAAATTTATATACTCCTGACGTCATTTTTGTTCTTCTGCCATTCAAATTTGTTTAGAAACAAATCTATCCATTTATTTCTTGTAAACTGGATGTTTGCTTAGGGCTTGATTAGATTCAGATTCACCTTTTTTGGAACAAGCTCTTCATCAGGTGCTGCTGTGTGCTTCAGACTGCTTCACAGCAGAAGGCAAACCTTGTTCAGTTGTCCCTCTTCTGGTGAGTTTAAGACTGAGTAGTGGATTCAGGTGGTGACAACCTGATGCCTCTGTTCTATAAATGGCCCCATCAACTTTTTATCAAACACCTTCCATCCATTGATAATTATGGTAGCCAGTGTCGACATCCAATAAAATATAAAGACACGTCTCTACTTTTAACACATTTTATTTGGGAAGGAAGAATTGCGATTTGGGGCATATACACAGACTGGGTGATCTTTGGAATGTCTGAAGAATCAAGGGAAGGTTGGAGGCCTTAAAAAAATGTATTGTTCTGAAAGAAAACTCGTTGATGCTGGCAGAGTTTTGAGGAGATGGCAAGCCCTGATGGGTAAGTGATGATGGTAGGGAAAACTAGCCTTCGAGTCACAGCAGGTTATTTTAGCAGCCTTTAGATAAGATTGGCTTCAGGTTACAGCAGACAGTTTCAGCAACCAGGCTTGCAGATAATTACAATCTTGGAGCAATGTTATGTGCTCTGAGTTCTTCTTCCCTCCCCTGGCCCCTCGAATCTGATTTAGTTGGGTATGACAAGAATGACCCAATTTGTAAGGTCAATTTTCACAGCAGCCTCCAAGAGGCACCCAGGGATCGCTGTCTCCTGATATTCATGCCTTTGTGTCATCCCCTGGTTTTGAATCTAGCCTGGACTTTTTTTTTTTTTTTTTAGATTATAAAATATAGTTTATTTAGAAAGTAAATTAGAAAGAGAGAGAGAGAGGAGATTCACCTCCCCAAGGTAGGGAAGGGGACCAAAGCCCTAGCTCAAAGAGCACATTGTCTCGATTTTAGGGTTTGGGGGGGGTTGTTTGTTTGTTTTGTTTTTTGAAACAGTGTCTCACTCTGTCACTCAGGCTGGAGTACAGTGCTGTGATCATAGCACACTGCAGCCTCAACCTCCTGGATTCACATGATCCTCTTGTTTTATCCTTCTGAGTAGCTGGGACTATAGGCATGCACCACCGAGCCCGTCTACCCTTTTTCATATTTTACAGAGATAGCGTCTCACCATGTTGCTCAGGAAGATTTCTAAGAATAGAATGCAGCAGAGGTGATGGAATGTCATTTTAAGATGAAGTTACCAAAAAACTGGGGATTCTATCTTGGATACCCTCTCAGGCTCTCTCATTCACTCACGAGCTCTTTGGGACGCCAGTTGCTGTCTTGTGAAACGTCCT